GGCGCCTAGAAGTCCTCGGACCCATCAAGCGACGTCGTTATGAGCATGATGGCATCTTTGATGGTACACGTTTTGTGAGGGTGCGCTTTCCCCCTGATGTGTCCTCCCTCCCCTACTCGGTCGGGTTTCAGTGTGAGACGGGGGTTGAATATTTCAGCATTCGGCATGACCACCAAGAGAAGGTTTGTTTCCATTGTCTATCGCATGAACATCTGCTGGCAGGGTGTCCTAGTAGGGTATGTCGACGATGTAAAAAGCCTGGTCACATTCAACGCCACTGCACTGTTTCTGTGTGTGAAGGTTGCAAGTTACCTTCGTCGGAGTGTGGATGTCGTCCCCAAGCTCAGTGGGACCGAGGCGCAACTGATGTTCCTAACAGATCTGCTGTTAATATCTCGGAGTCATCCTCGGTTTCTGGTGAAACTGAAGGAAGTGATGATGTCAACAATGATGTTGAGGGAAAAAACCTGAATGGTGAGGGTATGATTATGAGAAATGACGCTGCGGAGGATAATAAAGGTGATCCTGGTACGGGGATTGAAGATAATCTTTCTGATGATGATATCGGAATCATGTCATCTGTTGGTTCTGTTAACTGTATAAGCCCAAGTGGTGTTTCCGAGCCATCTGTTAGTGACGGAACGCTGAGGAAGTTCAGCTCAGCAGATGATCCTGTTGGTGTTAGCGACCGTCTGGCGGAAGAATCGGACTGGGTAGAGAGTAAGGGTGAATCTGATATTGTTAGTTTTATAACACCTACTGCAGCTAAATCATTTACCCGAAGAAGACGTCGAATAGTAGTCAAACCGAAAATTGAAGTTGTAAAAGGTATTGTTAAGAAGCGTGTGGTTAAACATGGAAAGAATATCAAAAAATAAACTTCCCATTTTTATAATGCTTATTCTATCAATAAATGTTGCCGGACTCCGTAGTGTTTCCAAAATGCAAAGCCTATTTGCGTTAGCTAGTTCATTATCAGTAGGGATATTATGTCTCCAAGAAACATTTTGGGATGTCGATTTTATTAATGAAAATAGTGACCTTTGGGAAGGTACCATTTACCATTCTTGTGATGGAACTTCGAAGCGTCGTGGATGTGCAATTCTGGTATCTAAATTTTATACAGATAACACATTTTCTCCGGTATCAGATAATGCTGGTAGATTTGTCAAATGTTCTTTTAAATATGATAAGGTCGAATTTGATATCGTTTCTTGCTACGCCCCGAACAGTGTGAAGGAGCAGAATGAATATTATAGGTATTTGTGTGACTCAATCGATTCTGACTCTTCTTATGTTCTTTGTGGTGATTTCAATGACGTTGTCGACCCGTTTCGTGATAGGTCAAAAACACTGGCATGTTATGGTTCTGCTTCGTCCCGTTTAAATAACTTTATTAGCCAAAATAACCTAATTGATGTTTGGCGTTATTTTCACCCCAGCAAAAGGGTGTTTACGAGACGTCAAGTTGTTGAAACTGTTCTGAAACAGTCACGAATTGATTACATCCTCACTTCAACCAACCTGGAGTATGCGTTAATTAATTCATTTATATATCATACAAGTCTTAGCGATCATAGCATTGTATCCGTCTCCATTAACTTGCGTAATGTTGATCGGGGACCTGGTAGCTGGGTGCTCAACAATTCTTATCTATCGGATCATGCCTACAGAACTGTTGTTGAAAAAGTCTTGAATGAGTCACTTGGATGTCCCCTTTTTAACACTGACGTACTTGTGTGGTGGGACAACTTTAAATATGCTATTAAAAAACAAAGCATCGCGTATGCTTCTAGTGTTCGATATCGACAAAAAGAACAATATTGGTTTATTCAAAAGCATTTGAACTTTATATATGATAGAGCTTCCAGAGGACTAGAATACGACAAGTGTCGTCTTGCAGAATTGGAAGTAGAGCTCTCTGAGTATGAAAAACGTGAATGTCATGGTGCTATTATTCGGTCCAAATCATTGGATGCCTTGGAATCGGATCGCTGCACAAGTTACTTCCTGAAATTAGAGAAACAAAAACAAAAATGTAATGTGATTAATGAAATAAGGAAACAAAATGGGACACTGACCTGTGATACTTTCGATATTCTTGAGGAAACCAGGTCATTTTATTCCAGATTGTATACCAGCGACAACTCCGTTACTGTTGATAAGGATCGCGTGGCAAGTCTCGTGCCTGATGTACTAACTCCTGAAGATGCGGATTTCTGTGAAGAGGACATTACTAAAGAAGAACTGTTAAAAGCACTGAAAGGTATGTCGAAAAATAAATCGCCAGGCATAGATGGATTGACTGTTGAATTTTACCTGGTGCTTTGGGATCTCCTGGGAGACGTTTATCATAAAATGGTCCTTTCTGTGATTTCAGATGGTGAATTGTCATCCAGTATGAAAAGGGGGATGATATCTGTGTTCTACAAAAACAAAGGGGATCGATCTGATCTCAAGAATTACAGGCCGATTAGTCTTCTTAATGTCGACTATAAAATTTTGTCAAGGTGTTTGGCGCTCCGTCTGAAAAACGTCATATCATCGGTTATCTCCCCTTCACAAACGTCCTGTATACCTGGTAGAGACATTGCCTTTAATATATGTGCTATCAGGGATGTGATAGATTACTGCGACGATGAAGATCTTCCTCTGTACCTGTTAAAGATTGATTCTCAAAAGGCCTTTGACAGGGTTGCTCATACTTACCTCTTTAATGTAATTGAATGTATGGGTTTTGGTCCTAAATTTCTTAAACTTGTCAAAATTTTGTATAATGACATTAGAAGTTGTGTAAAGGTAAATGGCCATATTTCGTTATCTTTCCCGGTATCAAGGTCAGTTCGTCAAGGGTGTCCAATTGCGGCTTTGTTATATGTAATGTCTGTTGAACCCCTTCGTTCTCTTATAATGTCTCATCCTAATGTTCGTGGAATCCCGATTCCGTTTTCCACTGTACCATCGGTAATTTATCAGCATGCTGACGATGTAACCCTTACGTTGAATGACCTTGAATCAGTTAATCAGGCCTTCGAGAGCATTGAGGTATACTGTAGCTTGTCCGGGGCCAAGGTTAATGTTGAAAAATCAGAACTTTTGATAGCAGGCTCAGCCTCGTGTACTACTGATATGTTAAACATGCCTCTTAGAATTCTGAACGGTAGTATGTTAATACTAGGTATTTATCTAGGACCAAATAAACTGGAATGTGAGTCACTTAACTGGAACTCTAAAATTGGTAAGTTTAAAAAAGTTATTAACTTATGGAAAGGTAGAAAATTATCACTAGTCGGGAAAAGTGTTATCATAAATACATTTTGTCTTTCCCTGCTCTGGTATGCGCTTCGTATAATAAGCATCCCTGAATGGGCATGCTCGGATATACGAGATGCCATTAAATCTTTTCTATGGGGCACGAAGCCGGCTCTGATTAAAGAGTCTACAATACTCGGGCATAAAGATGACGGGGGTCTAAACATTCCTTTAATTCATGGCAGAAGGGATTCCTTTCGGCTCTGTTGGCTATCCAAATTTTTTATTGAAGAGTTAAGTTGTTCCTGGAAATATTTTATGAAGTTCTTTCTCAATAAATATAACGATTTGTCACTATGTAATGAATTATTATTTATAAAATATAATAGACAGTCTCTTGTAAAGTTACCCTCTTTTTATAGGGAAATGTTAGTAGCATGGAATAACATTAATGGTGGTAATAGATTAGTATCCATTGATTATAAATTTATTGTTAATCAACCTTTGTTCTCCAATCCTAATATTGAATTACATTTGTCCTCATTTATAATATATGTTTTCCAGATGTCGGGCATTGTTAAAATATCAGATATAATTTATGGTGCGATTGTTGGATTTCTTCCTAAGTCAGCCATTGTTGAAATTGTACAAGACCTGTTTATTGATATATCTAAACAAGTTATTATAACATCATACGATTCTATTATAGGAAGCATTCCTTCTTCATGGAAAGTAATTATTGCCTCAGAATGTCATGCGGTTACACCGTACACCAACTTTGGTGTGGAACAGCCAAGTGGTGATGTTTTATTGGTATCAAGTTTTACGGCAAAAAATTGCTATTCTATTTTAAGAAATAATCTCTTTGTAAAACCCTCATCTTATGTTTATTTTAGTAGCCAAGGCTTTAATCCCGACTGGCCGAAAGTGTGGAAATCAGTTTACTGTAATTTGAAAAGTTCGGAAATGATAGATAATGATTTTTCTATTTGCCATAATATTGTTTGGACGAATAGCAGGAAATACGTCGCACATGTTATTGAGAGTCCACTTTGTACATTATGTAAAAGTAACGCGAGCGAAACAATTATTCATGTTCTTTGTAAATGTCCATCTATCAAGACATTTTTAGATGAAATTGAAGATATTCTTTTAACTCTTTTGTTAAATGTAGGGTATACCACAGAGCAATTTATAGAATGGTTGTTGTTTGGATATCCACTGTCTAGATCTGAGTATAGCCTATTTCTTGTATTGTTATTTTCTACCGCAAGACTTTCTATTATAAAACGCCGAAGTATGTGTATATCTCAGGCAAGAGATGTTGATCTTTTTTCATTATTTGTTCACACCTTTGAGTGCCATCTTCAGTCAATTTTGTACAAGTGTGGGTTAGAAACATTTATGAATTATATGAATTTTAACCGTTTTATCAAAATAAATAACCGAATAGTAACTTTGGAATTTACATAATCTGTGATTTTGTCATTACATGTTTGTTTAATCCAAGATATATTATGATAGATATTTGTAACGAAACTATGATAAATGTGATCTATGATAAATGATAACTGTGGTATTTATAATGAAACTAGGATAAATGTGATATTTGTAATGGAAACTATGATAACTGTGATATTTGTAATGAAACTATGATAACTGTGATATTTATAATGAAACTATGATAACTGTGATAGTTATAATGAAACTATGATAAATGTGATCTATGATAAATGTGATGTTTGTAATAAAACTATGATAAATGTGATCTAACATAAATGTGATTTGTAATGAAACTATGATAAATGTGATCTAACATAAATGTGATTTGTAATGAAACTATGATAATTGTGATCTATGATAAATGTGATTGTAATGAAACTATGATAAATGTGATCTATGATAAATGTGATTTGTAATGAAACTATGATAAATGTGATCTATGATAAATGTGATATATTTAATGAAACTAAAGAAATGTGATATTTGGTATGAAACTATGATAACTGTGTTATTTGTAATGAAACAATGATAACTGTGGTATTTATAATGAAACTAGGATAAATGTGATATTTGTAATGAAACTATGATACATGTGATATTTGTAATGAAACTATGATAACTGTGATATTTTATGACAATGATTTGATAGTAATTGTGATAGTTATTTTTTTAAAAATATTTATTTTAATTTTAAAGAAAACTTTTTAAAGCCTTACCAGTATAAATGTAATGAATTTTAACTGAATAAATTTATATTAAAAAAAAAAAAAAAAAAAAAAAAAAGAGCGCCGTGCTAATAACGCGGATGTCATGGGTTCGACCCCCATAGGAGCCAGACAAACTTTTGCAGTTCTTTGAAAACAGCGATTAGGGTTGTGATTAGGGTTATGAAAAAATTTAATTGGACGGACACATTATGAATTTGTCCGCAAGAAAATTACCCCGTTTCGGATACAGCACTAGCAAGACAAACCATTTTTATCTGTCTGTTTGAACACATTATGTGTGAATGGCACGCCTCCGGTTTTTAGCAACGATACGAAAATGTGAGTTCCCTCAGAATCATCCCCGGCGGGATTCGAACCCGCGACCTCTGGATTAGAAGTCCAGCGCGCTATCCGCTGCGCTACGGGGACTGTCACTTCCAGCTGAGATATCTGGGTGTAGTCCCACTAAAGGAAAGTCGTCTCAGAGTCAAAATAAGTCAGGTTCTACCGAGACTCGAACTCGGATCGCTGGATTCAAAGTCCAGAGTGCTGACCATTACACCATAGAACCACCTATGGTTTCCTAGCACCTTGTTACGATTCTCGGAAGCAAGGTATCTAAAACGTGTCCTTTCCCTGTTATTTCATCATATTCCTTTTCTTATCAGACAGGGGAGTTAGGTCTGTGCCTTAGTTCGGAGATATCTAATTACATAAGCTGAAATTTGGGGCCAAAAACAAAAACAAGCAGTGGGGGTTTTAAAAAAAAAGTTTTAACTGGAGATGCCGGGTATCGATCCCGGTACCTCTCACATGCTAAGCGAGCGCTCTACCATTTGAGCTACACCCCCATACGTAAAGCATTGTTAGGAAAGCCGTCTGGTTAACAATGCCCCACAACATCTCGCTGTTGCATTGTGATTTTGCACGTGGCAAAAACATCAGGTTTCGGCGAGGCTCGAACTCGCGACCTTCTGCGTGTTAAGCAGACGTGATAACCACTACACCACGAAACCTCGATATGTACATCCTGGGGCAAATTGGATTTGAGACCAGTCGCCTCAATATTATCCCCTCGAGAAAAGCGAAAAAAAAGAATTACCGCCCAACGTGGGGCTCGAACCCACGACCCCGAGATTAAGAGTCTCGTGCTTTTTTTTTTTCTTGTAAATATGTTTATTCATGAAATATATAATCTTACTACATGTATATATACCTCTTAATTATGGCACATCACAAAATATTCTTAGTTAATTAAAAGCATTATTTTTATTTATGTACATGTTATTTTGGGAATTATATTAAAAAAAAAAAATATATATATATATATATATATATCTTTATGAACTACCATACAAAAACATTGACACATTGATGAGATAATAAATCAATAAAACAATGGATCAATAAAGCAATTCATACATATATATATATTTATATCAGGTTAATTAAAATATAAGTTAAAAGTTGGTGCCATTTCATTTAAAACTTCAATCAAGATATAATTACAATAAGTTACATAGTATGTACAAGTGATGATAAACTTATTTTGGCTATTTAGATATTCATTAATGGTATCTAAGTCAATGCGAATACGAAGTATACATGGTTACTTTCACCCACAATTACGGGAGAAAAGGGAGTATTTATTTATATTTCATATGTTTGTATAGCCTATAATTTATAGTAGTTTAAATATTAATTACTTCAGTCGTTTTCTAATCATTTATATTAGTTTATGAAATTATGGTGTCATAACACTTACAAATCTATTACGAGTCGATAAGATTTTACACAAAAGCTAGTCAGCTGAAATCTAGCAGACGAAATTTCTACCGTCTGCGCGACGAGTCCCAGTTATTGACCTATACTACAAACACTCAATGTGTGTCAGCTATACAAGCCTTTACTTTCCAGTCTTATTTTAACACTGCAAATCATATAAGCTCTGATCATCCAGTGCTCTTAAGTTTAACATTGAAAAGGCCTATTGTAAACCTGTTAAGGCAGAATTCTCTGAAGATAAATAATTTAACACATCTATCTTACCTACACTTTTATTGTTTTGTTTGTTAGTCACTAAATATAATAATAAATTTTAGGACACTGAGGTTTGTCTTTTAGATTTAAAGTCTATTTAGAGGTAGATAATGTACAGCAGTTCTCTCAATGGAGATTATATTTATTGAAACTGTTTGATTCTTAACCTGTATATGAATTTTTCTTTACAATTTGACATTACAATATATTTCTTTTTCTTGAACTATTTAATTTGAGCTTAAAGTCATTAATTATTGCAGTATATATACGTATATTAATATATATTATATAAAGGATAAAGGTTTATATTTACATTTAAGACAGATATTCACGATGACACTGAATGAGTATACTGCCATTTAATCATTTTCATTTCTATAAATTGATTTTCTGTTTATGTTTCAATAAATCTATTGTTTTGACACAAATATAATCTAGACTTAAACCCCCATGATAACCATTTTTACGAACATTGATGTAAATTGATCTTTTGCTCACACAAGTAATATACATTTTGTCGGGATAAACAATTTGAGCATTCTCAGCAAGGTAAATTCTTCGAAACTCAGCAACATTACATAAGAACGTTTGAGTTTCTAACCTTTTAAATAGCAATTTAGGCCAGAAGAGCGACTAAGTTCGGAAATACTTAACCTCGAAGTTCGAAATATCTAAAAGTTTCGAGGTAATAAAGTCTCCCGAATAATATTTGGATATAAAAGTAGACTAAACTTCTAATTGATTGATTAAATACAGATTCAATTGAAAATAATATACACATTAATTATTATACTCTAAAAATTAACAAAGAGTTATCTCCCTTGCAATTTTGACTATTGATTAGATTCCACTTAAATGATTAAATTCCGAGTAAATTCAAAATAGAGTGTGAATTTCGGGACTAATATATGGTTCAATATTATTTCACTAATTATTTGTATACCGTGGGGTCTTTGACAGTGGGGATGGACTGGTTGACCTAGAGGAAATCCACGAGGTTAGGAGATACAAAATGACATACATACATATATATTAAACTATTATAGTTTACAAGTTCTCACCATGGCATTACAGACATTATAACACAGTTTACATCGTTGCCATCAATTACATCAAGACATCAATTTATATGTATTTAAAAATCAAGCTTAATGCTACCGTCAGATTCCATTTTAATCAATACCGAAGGTAAAATATATTTCTTTAAAAATTTTGGTTTATCTTTGACATAGAATTGACTTATACAATACAGCTGATGTTTAAAGATAGCATGGAATAGTTTTATGATATCTATTTTAATATTATTGTTATCGAGTAACATAGTTCGTCTGCTAAAGATTGTCTGTCGTGTACAACTCAGTGTTGTGTTAACAAGGTCGTTAGGGTTCGACTTATCACTGGACTGCAGTCCAAATAACAGACATTTATTGAAAACGTCTTCTGGTATAGTTGTAGGCATTACATCATCGATAATAGATTTTATTAGAGTTTTAAGCCCTTTTAAGCATGAGCAGTATACAAATAAATGAAGTAGGTTTTCTGACTCAGATTTACACACAGGACAAATATTATTGTCAACTTTACCAATTTTATGTAATCTTTCTTTAGTCCAAATTACATTATGCATTATCTTAAAGTCTAATTCTCTTTGTTTGGGATTTTTGTATTTTCCGAACATATTCTTCCAGATGATAGACCAATTACATGTTAAATTTACTCTATCCCAAAACATTAAGGATTTCGGTTGTACAAATACATTCTTAATTAATTCGGCATAACAAAATCTAGAATTTAATTCAATAGTTAATACAGTATTACTTAGAATATTAAACTTGTTTTTAACATTAACTAACCCATCATAGTATTCATTATTAATAATTTTGGTCCATTGCGATGGAATACTCAATAATATAACTTCATAATTTCTGATGATTGTATTAACATTATAATCAGGTTTATGGTTATGTATCATATCAATGACAGAATGAACAGGTATAAATCCAGGCTTTACATAGTAGATAATATCATATATCTTAGTGATATTAGTCAATTTAAAGATTTCAAAGTTAAGTTTTCTGTCTTTATACTTAATATAGTTATTATTAAAGATAGGTTGACACACAATATCCTGAAGAGTAATCGGCTCAGGCCTAGTGCCTTTATTGAGATCATCCCATGCTAATAATAAACATTTATAGAATTCTGGTATTTTATTTAAGTCCTTATAATCATAGTAAAGAGTAAATAATTCTTGGGTTAAATTTAATTTAGCATAATTCTTTAAAAAATATGTCATAAGTAATTTCCAGACACTGGTGTATGTAGTATCAAAATACTTTATCATCCATTTTAATACTAAGGCTTTACCCTTTAAACTTATACTCGGTAGGCCTAGACCTCCGTCCCATTTATTACCAATCACTGTATTATACTGTATTAGGGGTGGCTTGCCTCGCCAAAGGAAGTTACATATCATCTTATTGACCTCACGAATAACC